TCTCTTTCTCTCTCAATCTCTCTCTCTTCCCCCCTCTCTCTCTCTCTCTCTCTCTCTCTCTCTCTCTCTCTCGCTCTCTCTTTCTCCCTCTTTTTCCATCTCTCTCCCTCTTTTGTAGTCATGCCCACGTGACCAGTGTCATGCTCTATAGTCAATTATCCGCTGCTTACAGAGAAGAGGAGATGCTGGTAGACACGTTCATCATAGAAATCCTCGTGACATTCGTCGACAGCTTGGCATTGGCGCACAACGATGAGAAATCGCTCGGTAAACTCACTCGTTACACTTCGTGACTACTTGATTTCCAACTGGCCAACAATGCCAGTCGAAGTTTGATGGATTCCATAAGTCATGCTTCATTGCAGCACAAATGTTACTACTGTATTGATCTGTTGCTTGCTATCGGTTATAAAATCATTATCAGTCATTATCGGTTTACAAATTCGGAAGGGTTCGCTTTGCGCACAAATTTTTGAATAGTTTTAGGAGACAAGATCACGATGATGGGGCTGTTGTGAATCAGTCTATGGTAACTGTATCTGAGTCATCAGGTAGCTAGAGTAGTTTTTGAAAGCCATGTCGGGGTCATTGTTTATGTAGTGTATTCTATGAAAAACCTCGCCTGAATTGTTATGTAGGTAGTGCATTCTATGGTGAGTGGTAACGATTGAATGTGCTGATGAAAACAGATGGCGTCTGTGTTCCCAGGAACACAAGAGCAGTGCGCACAAGCTCTGGACCACATTGAAAGGATCCTCAGAGGCAAGGCACATCTGCTGAACAAAGACAAGAAGAGTAGGAGAAGGCCAAAGTAAGTGCCGCCATCAAAAACCTCCCAATTAGTGATCTTTAAGTGAATCGGTCAGTGAGCTTTAACAACTTTCATTATAATTTTAATCTTAAGTTGGTTTTTAGTTTTCTTCCGTGGCGTAATCCTTCCTTCATATGTCATTATCATACCGGTCTATGCCATGGGCGTGTGCGGCCATATGCAGTGGCAGGTTGAATCACCAATTTACATAATAATTCAGACTGGAAGTTATTGTGATTGAGTTGTCAATATATTACTGGTTGCAGCTAGTACAGCTTGACAAAGACAGCAACTCAGCTGCTGTGGCTGTCACTCTCTCTGGATTTATCTATTAATCTTAATATTAAAAGAGTTAACACATTCCAGGGAGTTTACCGATGCCACTCTATTCACAACCGTCGGCTGGCTGCTGCAGCAGTGCGGTAGACCGCAGACGGAGTGTCGACACAAGTGCATGGAGCTGGTGTGCAAACTGTCGATGCACCAGTCTAAGTTGCCGGTGAAGTCGGCTGCCGAATTCTTCCGACTGTTGCTCGACTTGCATAGAGCGGAGTATTTCATCGAGAGGTAGGGGCCGCCTTTACATCCCCTACATCGCGAAATGAACAGGAATTTTACATTCTTTACCCGTTTCCCAGTCGGAACTTTACTTTGATAATGTACAGTTTTTTATGCGCAGACTCTGCTAGTGTGTTCCGCTTTTGTTTCTAGGTTTGAGGCAGGAGGGATTCCAGGTGGAGCCACGTGTCTATCTAACCAGCAGGAAGGGTTTGAAGCACCCATATCCATGACGACAGCTTTGAGCTGGTTTGACCACATGCTGGCAATACTCGACTGCTACACGTGGGTGTTTTCTGCAAAACTCCTACAGCCAACGGCTCTGTTCGCAGGTGCGACAATTCAGCAATCTTTAGCAGGTCAAAATGAACACATTGTTTATAAACTTATAATAATAAACTTTTCCTGGTACGAGCAGGTCTGCTGCTGGAAATGTGAACGTAACCATGCGGAAAATAAATAAAAAAGACATTTCATATTTACTCACAGTTATGCTGATGTTTACCCTTGCTTAAAGACACCCTCCATTACACGTGAAAGCATGTGGATTTTTGGGTATGAATAGCTGTTGCTCATCTTGCTATTAATTTTACTTCCATGAAAAAGACGGTCTTGGTCATCATTTTTTTAGAGGGAAAATGAAAGAAAATTTCATTTTACTTATTTTGTACTCCTGCATCATTCTGCTATGTTTGATATGTGACAGGCACTATCGCGATACATTGAGAGAGAGACAGGATACAGGGAGGATTTTTGTGCCATTTCACGACCAATCTACATGCTAGATGGCAGAAGGAAATAAAATAAGAATAGTCTTAAACTTAGTATGATAATATATATGAGAAGTGTAGATACCTCAAAGATGTTCCCTCTCTCATCACCTCACAGGTGGCACTGGAAAGCGCGAGGAACGAACGTGTTTTGCTATGGTGTCTGACTTCATGCGCCCATCTGGTGAGGAGAGACGGCGGCGGCGGCGATGGGCTGACAGGAGACATGTTCACGCCGGGAGAGATGGAGAAATACAACCGCTCCAAGTGCATGGTTGTCATACGCGCAATGGACCTGTTCTCTATCCTACTGAACATGGCTAGCCTGCAAGTGAGTATGTTTGGGGTTAAGGAAAAGAAGGAGGTGGGAATAATAATGGGGAAGGAAGGAAGGGAAGCTAAATGCATGGTAGTCGTGTATGTAAATAATTTGTTTGCCTTTTATTCGCAAGACCAAGTATTGTTGCAATTATTGTCTCTGTCTGAAATACTTTTAGTGAACTCCCAGTTTGTTACACACAAAATGCTTTAGAAATTTTCGGTAAGGGAAAAATGAAGAGAAGTGAATGGCCTAATGAAATGGGAAACGTTGCATTTCACAGTGTTTGCTTTACTTTAGGTTATACCCGATTCAACATGGAGCATGGAATTGTGGGATGTCGTCCTGTTATCAGTTCTTGACCCAACGCGCGTGGGATTCAACATGGCTGACATCGAGGTGGTTGAGAAGTTACCCGAGCAGACGGAGCGTTTGTTGATAGCATTGTCATGGAAACTACCCAATGCACCAAAGAAGGAACTGCACAGCAGAGTGGCCAGGAGCTTGTCAGAGAAGAAGTAACCAAATAAAGTTTTCTTACAAGATAATAAATGACGAAAAATACTTAATAGATAGTAATTATCCCACAGATTTTAATTTTGCTTTATTACATAGATATATACAGACTCGAACATGATTAGACAGATTAGTAATACCATGAACATGTTTATAAGTATAAAATATGTTATATGTTTTATATTGTTTAGATATGTTCATGCTAATTCTTTATGTTTATTTGTTACTAATTCTTGGTAGCTTTACTCATGGTTTCATCCCATTCAGTTATATGTAGTCACCTATTCTATTATCTATAGGGGTGTTTTCTACCTTCACAGATACAATATTCTTCCACGGCTGCCCTGCCTTATGACAGATACTGGAGATGACACTCGATATCTCTCCAGCCTTGTTTGTGGATATGAGCAATTGTACAAGGCTGAACTACTGCTCCCTGCACTCCAGGAGGCAGCACCTGCACTCCCCGCTAGTTTACTAACTTCTGTGTTTGAAGGTGAGGTTGGTCATCTGTCATCGATAGATATATGAATAATAATAATAATAATAATGAATCTTTATTACGAATATGTCATATTTCGATACAGGTACGTGTAGTTAATACAGTTCCTTTTAAAGAGATAAGTATGTGTAATGAACACAATAATATAAATCTGAAATTCAACGATTTTTACTAATTTGTTCGTGAAATATATAAATCCCTCGATAAGATGGTTTATTACATGCTTTATAGTGTACTATATCGCATATAATCCTATAATACACAAGCAAATATACTATATGATAAACACAGGAAGCTTATTTGCTGTAGGGAGGGCTCGACACAAATATTATAGTTGGCAACAAATGAATTAAATCCTTCATTGCAGGTTGCACCCTGAGTCCTAGGGATGGTGTATCTTCTCTTACTGGAATGTCACCATCAGTGCGGGAGCTGGGAGGGAGGATGCTGAGGCTTGCATTCACCATGAAGGTGGAGGTATGTGAAAAATATACAGCCATGAGTTAAAATAAACACAATTTACAAAATAGATCAATTCTGGTTATTATTGTTGTAAATCCTTTATCAGGAAACAATAGAACGTATAGCTGAAAACTGTAGTGCAAGTAGGGGTTTTTTGTAATGAAATATCATTTGACTTCATTTTTATTATTTCCTTATTATATTATATTTGTTAATTTTTGGCATTTTGTCTAAGCTTACTGCATTTCTTTTCCTTAACCTGTGACCTTGTGTGACATAAATTTTCATGCTATATATTTCAGAGTGACTCACTGCTGAGTTTGTTGTTCGATGACACACGGCTACTAGGTGTCTCTGCTAAGCAGACAACAAAGGGTTCCATGTTCTACTCGACTTTCGGACACGAAATCAACAACCATCTGGTTGGCATGGCAACAGTGTTGATACCGAAAGTGTTGGATAGAATTAACAACCGGGAGTCGGTTGTCATGACGATCCTCACGGATCTTCTGGACCAGGTTGGCAAGGATCGGGAGACTCGGAAAAGGTATTAATTACAGATGTTAGTAAATTAACCTGAGCATGGTTGACTCTACACACTACAGTCACAGTTGGTCATCTATTATCTACACTGATGTAAAATATTTCTACACAGGCATGCAAACGCATGCATGATCAAGTCCATGCATAAACTATTCACACGATGTATGTGTGTATGTTTATATATATATATATAATATATATAACAGCAATTATCACAGTTAGTGATAATTATATACTGGATGGTAATATGTGGTAGTGTGAATATGCATATTCTCATGAGGATATAGATTTTCATAGTGGTAGTACATAACATATGCGTGCGCATACACATGTACTGTTTGTTATGTGTGCAGGTATGGATCAGGCGTCGTAAACACAGTGCTGCAGTGCTGGGGTCATCTGCGTGACCTCTGGGTTGCAACCTCCACGCCGGACAGGAAGGACATGTTGCTGATGCTGCTGCGAAAACTCCTCCTCATTGACAGCAGCGTGGCTACCAAGGGGAGCCACTCTGCACACCGTGACGTGTACGACACCTACTGCTGCCTCCTGGTGGACGCCGGCACGTCACTTGCTTTCAAGGTATGTCCATGCAGCTCACGTGTTCGCCCGTGAATTATGCGGAGTCATCCAGCATTATCCAGACTTATCAGATGCATGATATCTGCAATCGTTAATCCAAATAAAGTTTTGCAATGATTTGATATATTATGATAAATGGCTATATTATATGCTTCCATCGATATTCATGTGAACACATATGTCAATTGAATAGACACCATACATCCACATTTTCCATTTCATGTTCATCAGTCCTCAATACAAGTGTATTTCCATGTCATTCTGTGTAGTTGATTACAGTTTTCTTACAGTGTTTACATTTGTACATATTGTTAGATTTTTATTTTAATGTAAAATGTTCCACGTTTGTCTTGTCATGATCTGTGTTTGATTTTCTTCAACCTCCCATTGTCGATTGTTGCTGGAGTTATATAATGTAATGCACCAACCTTCCTTGCATGATTGACGGGGAGCTCTAACCAACCATGGTTGCAATAGGATGTTCTAAAAACATTGCTTAGCAATGAAGTAGTCGAAATTTTGGCACGCACGTGTAAAAACACGTATGAAGCCTGGTGACATTGACTGACTTTCGTTATGCAGGCGGGTGTTGTTATCTTGCTCAGATGGATGGATTAGAGTCGGGAAAAAAATGATAAAAAAATGTAAAAAATGGTTAACATGATTATTTTGGCTGCTGCTGTTTTGGCAGACGCGGGTGATGGAGCTGCTGCACTTCTACTGCGAGCTGCCAGAGCAAGAGACGACCAAACTGAGAGAAAACCTTGATCGCATGGTGGCGGATTTCTTCCCGCTACGCAGCAGTGATTTCATCGTGGGTAGCCCAAAGTACCACGACTATGTGGCTGCCATGTCGCAGGTGAGTGTGGGACAGTTCTAACAAAGCTGCCACTCTACATGCTTCATCGGAGTATATGTTGGTCTGAGTTCATTTAGATAGCCGGGTGTAGAGGCCATAATATTTACTGATTTATTTACCTTACTATGGCTCCGATGACACGAACCATTCTTACGCTTACGTTGTCTGTGGCTCTTCTCATAACATCCACGTATCGATATCCCTCTTTTTCCCTATGTAAAAAGTGTTGTTAAAAGGCAATGTCATCATAATAACCTTTCTTTGATGTTTTTCTGCATCAACCTTTCTTGTTACATCTTAACTTGCCGTTAAATGTTATGATTGAACTGAGACAACACATGCCTTGCCCTAAAGACATCCTAATTCGACAGCTGCTGGATGTGATGGAGGTATCAGGTAGCACCATGCTTCTGAGACTGGTCATCAGTATCGTGTGTAGAGAGAGCAAGCATGCGATGCATGACCAGCTACAGACGTCTCTCTCACGCTTCATCCACAGGTAGCTATATATGTACAGTGTGTTCACACCCTTCATCTTTTTACTTACTTGCTACTTACTTTACAACTATACCTTGACGATGGATGTGTATCTGTATATAATAATAATGATAATGACAATAAATATAATAAAGTTATTAATAATTATTATCTTCATCATAATAATAATAATAATTCCATTTCATGATGAACACGAGCATGAACAACATTTTTTGCATGTCGTGACGCGTCAAAAAAAAATTTGTGACAGACTCTCGGCTGACAAGCAGAAGCTAGCAGCGGATTCGGGATACAGCATTCTCGCAGAGGAAGGAAACTTCCCGGGTGAGATCCGACGCTCCTGCCTCGACAACGTTGTCCTGCTGCTGCTGCGACAGTGCTGCCACCACGCTGTCGTCGAGTTCTTTCGCTGCCACCTGGTGGAAATAATCGGCATCATTGAAGCAAAGGTCGTCAAGGTGTGTGGGTGTAGCGTCATATCGTAGAGGTGTTGTCGCGATATTCAATGAAATGCAATGCACGTGTAAACAAATGCAAATAAAACTTCAGCATTAGAAATTAGTTTTAGTTGTAAAAAATGTAATAGATAATGTATCTCTGACTTGACATATCAGCCTAGGTATGGTTTACAGGCAACTTTTGCTGTGACCAGTGTTGCAATAGGATGTTCTAGACACAATGCTTAGCAAGAAAGTGTTATAGAATCAATAATCAGGCATGTACACATAGACGTGTATAACTAGTATAGAATTGACTAACTAATTTAATATTTTTATGCATATTTGCTTATAAAATACGTATCACTATGTCTAGTTTTACCGGCCTATCAACAATATCCGAGGGAGCGTGGTTATATCTCGCTCAGATAGGTGGGTTGGTCAATTGTCAACACATCCGTCACAGAATGTCATGTGTTGTGTAGCTGCCAGAGCGCCAGTATGAGTCACAGCTCATCTCTAAGATCTGCTCCCTGAAGCTGCTGGAGTTGATGTATGCGTGTCTACCTAAGGAGGATGTTTACGGAAAGGATGCTGCACTCGGCCAGGTATTCCTCGCATCTCGTCCGGCTGGCAGCAAAGAGTTGACACCTGTCATAACCAGGTAAGGTTTTACCTCTGTCATCACTTGGTAAGACTTGACACCTGTCATAAACCATTTGACATCTGTCATATTAACCATTTGACACCTGTCATATTAACCATTTGACACCTATCAACCATTGGACTCCTGCCGTAACCAGGTAAGATTTGAGACTTGTCAAAACCAGGTAAGGTTTCACACCTGTCATAACCAGGTAAGATTTGACACGTCATAACAAGGTAAAAGTTTATCCCTACCATGACCAGTGCCAACCTTCTGTCTTTTATTATTCTAGATGACTCGTGATCTTGAGGAATACTACATTTAGTAGTAGAAGCTATTCAATCCTTGTTGACTAAATTTGACATGCATGCTTACAATTCGTTTTCTCAATATAGAATGCAGTAATCTCTAGTTATCTTTTTTGAGTTAAAATATGAACAATGACAAAAACAATGATCTCAACAGTGACAAAAACAATACCAACAATGACAAGAATAAGAACAACAGTGATAGAAATAATGACAGCAACAATGATAACTAGAATAGCAACAATGACAACAACAGTGACAACAACAATGATAACTAAGACAGCAACAATGATAACTAAGACATCAATGATGATAACTAGAACAGCAACAATGACAACAACAATGATGACAGCAACGAGTAGAGAGCGGCAACAGTCTATAAGTTGACTGCTGCCTCCTCCACGTAGGTTGTGTTACGATGCGTGTCGTGAGGACATGCGTGGAGAGAGGGCGCTACTGGAGCTACGTCGGCAGTACCACTGCACCGCCTACAACGTGTGCGTCGCGTCGGTGTCTCGCACGAAGACGGAGCCAGTCTATTACAGCTCGCTGCTGCTGCAGGAGAATCCAGCCAAGGGCCAGCTGCTGTGGGACAATATCATAGACTGTCACCGGCGCTACGGGTTTGACCGGGAGCTGTCGGCGCCACTGCAGAGAAAACGGCAGTTTGTTGCGATAAGGTATACAGCGATGAGGGTTTTCATTAGAAGGAAGATTACTGTTGAATATTGCTGTCTAAAGAGCCTTTTGGTGGCATTTTGGAGGAATTCTGTGGATCAGCACCTTACAGTAAATTTATTAAGGTCATCAGTCATATTCGTGTCTACTTTCCAGAACATTTACTCACAGTTAACAGTGTTGGATGTGGTGAAAGAATGATTGCTTTTTAAACAGAATTGTTGTTCATCGATTGTGTAACACTGCAGTAAAAATCATATCTAGCTAGGTATTGTGTAAATACATACATGATAGAATGGATCAAGGGTTGTTTATTCAATTTATGAACTGTTCCGTAGGACGGCCGTGCGTGAAATAGATCGCGATGCGGATGGGCAGGGGGCGCCACTGCCGTCGGTGCACTACCTTGCCTCGCAGTACCTCGCTGATAGCAGTCTGAGCGAAGACCTGAGCAGGTACGACTTCAACGTGTCGACACAGATACGAGAGAGAGGAGATCCGAGAGCTGAGAGGAAACCTGAGGGGGAGGCAGAGGAGCAGGAGGAGGAGGCTGCGATGGATGTGAATGAGGAGGTATACGTCTGTGATGTAGTAACACTCGATCATTCCATCTCATCGTTAATGCATGTATATAAATGTACATGTATATGTATATATATATATATAGTATCATGTGTGTGTGTGTGTGGTTGTATGTATGTAATGGACGTGCATGCGTTGTGTTGTGGTGTGTGTGTGTGCGTGTGCGTTTGTGTGTGACTGGTGTGTGTGTGCATGCGTGGGTGCATGAGTTGCGTGCCGTGCGTGTGCTTCGCCTCTGCGTCTGAAGTGCGTGACATTGCTGTGTATTCATAGATATTGTACGCTGGTTGCCAAATGGTTATGAGGTAGTGTGGATAATGTTGATTTTCAAGGATTCTGTGTAGTGTTGCTGTTGCTCTCCCTAACCTCAATCAAGGCACCCTGCCAGAGTGGCTAAGCACACAAACCTGCATCTATAAACAGCTGTTATACACTTTGCTGAACATTTCACACCGGAATACCAAAGACTGAAACAAACGACCTGAAAAAGTCTTTTGGCTGTCTTGTTCATTGTTTTCCGACTTTTTCTGTCTGTCCGTTCTTTTAGGGAGGTCTGCAGTGAACGCTGGCAGGGAGATTACGCTGGAATGGAGATGGTGATGGAATTGAACCGCATAGGCATGGCTAGCATGGTAGTTAGCTCTGAAATTAACACTAGCAACGACCGGTCTGTCCCATACAGGTTAATCCTGGTTACACCTGGTCTATCACAGGATAATTACGTAAGTAGTAACTAACTATGTATTGATAGAAGATGCCATGCGATGAATGGTCGTGGATGGAAATAGATCGATTACGCTGTTGATGGATGAAATAGAACCGGTCCACGGACAGCGGATATTTGGCTACGGACGGGACCGTTGCAACAGACAGACAGATAGATAGACCATGGTTACCTCAGGTTAGCTGCTGATTATTATGTGCACCCTGGCGTCTGGGCGATACATAACCATATATACATTGAATACAGATTATCTGCCCTATAGACTAATTGGGTATTCTCATTAGAAACTGTATCGAGCTAGTATGTTATATCTCGATTTACTGCCCTAGATGCACACCAAAATTTCTTTTAATTTGTTCAGGAATATTAAAAAAAAGAGATGTTGTTTATCACATTGAAAGCATTATTCTCGAGTTCAAGCCATTATGGAAATATATCCATACGTAACTGTAACCCGTCTGCATGTTTATTTGTTCCATTGGGCTGTTGCAGCTGCCCTCCTTCTCCCGCTCACCACCACGCTTACACTGCTAACGTCCTGCACCGTATTTCTCCCCGGCTGTTGCAGGGCTGCTCCATCTCCCGCTCACAACACGCTCACACTGTACGTCTGCACGTATTTCTCCCCCGGCTAGTTGCAGGCTGACCTCCTCTCCGAGCTCACACCCACTGCTCAACTTGTAACGTCTGCACGTTATTTTCCCCGGCTGTTGCAGGTCTGCTCCTCTTCCGCTCACACTGTACGTCTTTGCCACGTAATTTTCCTCGGCGTGTTGCAGGCTGCCACCTCTCCCGCCACACACGCTCACACTTGTAACGTCTCCACCAGGCACTACGAAATGTAAGGACGAGAGGGGAACGGCAATTTGGTTTGGGGCATGTGAGAAATTGCCTTGAATTTTCTCTAAAAAATGCGTATGGGCACGATGGCAATTTTAAAAAGGCATCAATCTCGCCGT